GTGGTGGTCGAAGTGATGGCTCCAGTAGTGGTAGTTGAAGCGATGGCTTCTGAACTGGTAGTCGAAGCGATGGCTCCGGTAGTGGTAGTGGTACCGAGGGCTCCTGTAGTAGAACCGGCGACGGTACTGGAGAAACCGCCAGCTTCGACAGTAGTAGTGCTCAAAGAATCGGTCGTAGTAGTTGCACTGGAAGAACTGTTCTCGCTAGTCGCACTGGAACCAGCCTCGGTGGTCGTACTAGGAGAGCTGTTGGCCTCAGTGATGGTGGCAGTGGAGAAATCGACGGTATTAGTGGTAGTGCCAGTGGAAGAACTAACGGCCTCAGTGGTACTATTTAAGCCGATACCCTTGGTATTACTCGAACCAATGGCTTCAGTGGTAGTACTTGGACGAGCAGCAGCAGCAGTAGTGGCTACCGGAGTATTCACTGTATCGCAGGCGATAGGTTCGCCGTGACAGTCAGGGTCGGCCGGCTCGAAACAAATAGAACCATCGGTCTTTTTCGACAGACCAAAGCAGACGGGGCTATTCAGCCATGACTTACAGTACGATCCGAACTTGGAATCATTACAGCCGTTGATATAGTCGCACATCTGAGAACACGGATCATCCGTGGCAGAGACGATACCAATGACGAGGAGATGATTGAAACGCATTATTAACAGGAGTAAGTAACAAAGGGGGAACAAGCTGCAAAGGATAACAATTGTACACCCGCTACAACAGCAATCGTAAACAAATGTTGTTCATGTCATTCATGAGCCAATACGTTGTAATGTTTAGCCTTCTTTGTGTCGGCTCCACCGTGTCAAGTACAGCGTAGGTACAGTAATACGTGTCGGTGGCGCGATTCAATCAAAATTTCGCCACTCCAAAAAACGGCAAAGAACCGTAGGGATTCATCGGAAATCAATAGAGAGACAGCTGAACGCGATAATTTCAGGGCCGTTCCAGCCCGAGGTTGACAAAGATTAACTTTCGACAGTGCTGAGCCACGAGCTCCATGCAGTATTGTTACGGACTAGCGATTCAATCGATCCCTGGGGCCACAAATTTGGGTGATTGATACTTGATTCGCCAAGTACACTGCTTTCACCTACGAACCCATACAGGCAGGCTAGAATGATCAAGACCAAATGCTTAGATGAGCCTGCCGACTATGCGGAATATGAAGGTTACTTCCGTTAAAACGCTTTTGGTGGGAAAGCGATGAAGAGAGTCCGCATAGTCACTGGAAATAGTTTGTGGCTTCTCCCTGGGTCAATCCGCAGTGGGAAGCTATGAATCCCGGAAACTCGGATTCGGACCATCGGTTGACCACGGAGGCACATAGTGTATCGAGCCTCATCGAATGTATACTCAACGAGCTTTATGTGTCCATTACTCACAGTGCGCGACTCAACCGTGCGACACGGCATTGAGAGCTCCCTATGGTAGTCATGGAGGATCGTAGATATGAATAACTGTCCTACGGGGATACGTTGGTGCACTAACTTGCTCGCCTGGTGAGATTAGAGTTCTTAATGATGAAAGAGGGGTTGAAAAGGTGTAGAAGACTCGTATGGTGATCTATAGATGGGCAGCGTAACGTTTTTTTACGGTTTTCGTTACGGCGTGCGTAACGTAAGCAGTTCACGCTTACGGAAAGGCCTTACGACTTTACGGTTGGTGCTGAACTGCTTTGTTAGAATTGTGGCTGAAACATTCGCTGTAGTGCACTCCTACATAGCTCAAATAGTTCTTAACTCATTTTTCGTGGCTCGGATTCAACCGAAACGCTGAGAGCGTAACGTTTGGATTGGCATTTACCACTCGTCTCCTTTGCAAATCTCGCCCATCATACTCCCAAGCTGGCCCGGAACTGCCAAGCCAGCTTCGTCTACCGATGGGCATTCACATAAAACAGATTCAGGCGACTTGAATGATCAAACCTCGTTTTGTCCTCTGCATCTCCGTAAAGCCCGTTACGGCGCCGTAATTTTACGGTACGGAGCTTGAGTCGTAACCGTAAAGGTGAGCCGTAACGGTCCGTAACGTACTTCTGCCCATCTATATGGTGATCCTCCAACACTGCGTTGAACATCCGAGGAAAGGAGAGCGTTCATCGCTGAAAGTCTATCGTTTAGTCGGCCCAGAACCGGAAGTTGTGAAGATTCTGGAGTAAGCCAGAGCACCAGAATGTGGGAGAAAGAATCGCGAGATTAAGATACTTCGAGACTGTCAATCATGAGTATCCGCGTGTATAGGGCGGTCGGACACGAGTATGCTTGTGTACAAGGTGGTAAGATACGAGTATTCGTGTGTATAAGGTAGTCGTACATGAGTATTAGTGTGTATAAGGTGGTCGGACGCGCGTATTCGTGTGTATAAGGCGATCGGACCACGACCTCTCTACAAGCACGTGGAATTTCTAAAGCAATCATCTCAAAGTTTGAGATCGTCCATCGGTTTTCACGTAAGCACGGTGCAGAAAAGCTCCTCATAATCAGTCAAGTTGTTTTTCGGACCTACTCTACCATGTTCGTGCTTATTAAACTCAACAACCATATAGATCACTACTTGATGCATAACCTTTAAGACAGTGAACAGCCCAATCAGAAAGACAACGGACAACTCGAAGACAAGTCCCAGGGTAAGTATCGAAAAAAAGACGCGGAGTAAAGGCTACATTAAGCCTTAACAGCTAGTAAGAGTTGTATCGATGAGGAAACCTGCTTTGATATGGATCTCAGTAGAACTGATGATAGTGCCTCTGATACTTTTAATATGAAACATATCCATCAACTGTTGCAGCATAGAATCGTAGTTGGAGAAGACGATATCATTACCCGCAACTTCATAATCAGCGCCCGCGCTTTGCCCTAGGACGCTGACAGTAGCGCGTCCATTTTCGTCAAAGTCGACGCTGAAACTCTCTCCATAGACTTTACCACAGTAATTGCCTCGGAAACCCTCAGATACACTGCTAGTTGTACTCGTGGTTGCGATAATCTCTGTAGTTGCAGTTTCAGTAGTAGAAACCTCAGTAGTAGGAACCTCGGTAGTAGGAACCTCAGTAGTAGGAACCTCAGTAGTAGGAACCTCAGTAGTAGGAACCTCAGTAGTAGGAACCTCAGTAGTAGGGACCTCAGTAGTAGGAACCTCAGTAATAGGAACCTCGGTAATAGGAACCTCGGTAGTAGGAACCTCGGTAGTAGGAACCTCGGTAGTAGGGACATCAGTAGTAGGGACATCAGTAGTAGGGACATCAGTAGTAGGGACATCAGTAGTAGGGACCTCAGTAGTAGGGACATCAGTAGTAGGAACCTCAGTAGTAGGGACCTCAGTAGTAGGGACCTCAGTAGTAGGGACCTCAGTAGTAGAGACCTCAGTAGTAGGAACCTCAGTAGTAGGAACCTCACTAGTAGGGACCTCACTAGTAGGGACCTCAGCAGTAGGGACCTCAGTAGTAGTGACCTCAGTAGTAGGGACCTCAGTAGTAGTGACCTCAGTGATAGGAACCTCAGTGGTAGGAACCTCGGTGGTAGGAACCTCAGTGGTAGGAACCTCAGTGGTAGGAACCTCAGTGGTAGGAACCTCAGTGGGAGGAACCTCAGTGGTAGGAACCTCAGTGGTAATCATTGCACCACAAGCAATAGGCTCACCGTGGCAGTCAGCGTCAGTTGGCTCGAAGCAAATTGATCCATCAGACTTCTTTGCCAAACCGAAGCACACTGGACTAGTTAGCCATGCCTTACAGTATGATCCAAATTTAGAATTATCACAGCCGCTGATGTAAGTGCACATCTGAGAACACGGATCATCCGTGGCAGCGACGACACCAATGACGAGCGCAAAACAGTCACAACGCATGAGTGTTGGCGAGCGTAGTAAAGGGAAAACAAACTGGAGAAGAAACCGACTCAGATATCAGACATGCCTCCGCTTCGTAATCAGTTCGTTAGTGTATGTCGTTCAAGTTATTCGTGACCGGACCGTTTGTGGTGCGTTCAGCCTTTGTGTCGGCTCCATGATATATGGCACAGTCGAAGGAACTATCAGTACCGAGCACACCTTGTCCCCATACTGTATGGTGTGGGAAAATGGGTCATGGTCATCGCTCTGACTACGTTATAGCTTTACTAACGATAGAAATGACACCTCGGGTACTCTTTTTCCGGGAAGTTGGATAATCCTCCAGCGATCCGCTCCCATCCTTGCCTTATCACTTTAGCGGCCTTGTTTATATTGGCATGTCTGATAAAGCTATCACTCTATCAATGCAGAAATTTTCCAGGTTGAGGCTCCGAGAAACGTTAACGGGGGAAATACAGGGTTCGGACAGTGAAGCAAATTAATGCTCCCTATGACATTCTCACGCGATGCAGGACACCGAATGTACAATTCAACAGACTGAGAAATTGTATGATTTTGGGATGGCACAGTTCGCTCTGCCGACAACAAGTGATTGATCTTGAAGTGGCATAGTTGCCCCAGCGGCAAAGATGATTGGTCTTGAAGTGGCATAGTTGCCCCAGCGGAAAAGATGATTGATCTCGGAGTGGCGTAGTTGCCCTGCCGGAAGGAATGTTTGATTCCGGATGGCATAGTTGCCCCGCTGGGAGAAATTCTTTGATCCTTGTATGGCATAGTTGCCCCGTCGGAAAAATTATTGATCTTGGGGTGGCATAGCTGCCCCACTGTACTAGTATATTGTACTAGAGAATTTTTCTCTCGTTAAAGAAGCGAAGGCATTAACCTTAGTTATCCTTGATAGCTCAACCGTGACTGTGCGCCTCGGCATCCGAAGGGATTGGAGTATAGAGTAGAGGAAAGAGCAGTATTGCATCGAGATGATGAGCATGTCCAAATAGAGTGTTATATAACAACACAAAAGGCACAGCAAGACGGAAGCGATATAAGGCATGGAAAACATCATGACCAACGAACGCGCTTCGACTTTCGAGGATTCTAGAGACCACTGTGGAGCTCTCGGAAGTCCGATGATCGTTGATGCTTGCCTGAAATCGATTAACTGCGGGGCAGCGAGTGAAACCGAGATTAACCTATCTCAAGTTGCTCGGAAAGACGATCATCCCGAAGATACTGTTTCAAACCATAGGTAGCCGTCGATGATCCAAAGGAGCTGTCAGCCTCTCCGATTCGCCTCCGTTCGCTGCGAGACCTGATGAGAACTTCTCGAAGACGTCCCTGGCCTTGCATCACTAGAGCATCGGTTGTAAACGGCCGCCCCTACAGCAACTCACATCGTAATCTCGCCTGCTTCTTTATCTACCAAATTGTTAGATAATACATGGGTTCCCCAGGTCTCCCCACTGGTGAGCCCCCAGTACAACCTCTTCCAACTCTCGGACTGACACAGCTTCATGTCTATTGATACAGAGCTATCCCTGCCGAATCATGCAGCAACGCCGACGAAATGCTGGCGAGCCCGCTCAATCGTATTCGAGCCGCGCTCGAGAATACCGATGAGATTACCGAGGAACACCCGGTCGTTCTCAGACGATGCCAGAGCTCACACTGACTGCCCCTCACTTATTCTTTTCGCAAAAAGCTTAGCTTTAGAGCTGGCAATGCCATAGCTCAAGGAAGCCTCCAAGCACTTGGCCAGAGTTGCAATAACACACTAAGACCACTACCTGAGGTAGTGGTAGTCTACCTCCCAGCACCTTCCCAGCGATAACCCCGTACTGAACCATCGCTACCTCCATCTCGGACCGCTAAATCTTGTGAGGCTTGAGATCGTCCCCATGAGCCTCCACAATCGCTGTACCGACTACAGTCCCCGACGGCTCTCTGAGAACAGTAGTGCATATCGAGCCGCTAATTCTTCTTGTCTCACAGAGGTCTTCAGACTCCTGTTGAGCCGACTATGACAACCGGGACGAGGCCATCTCAATCGGCAACCAACGCATTCCAGACCCCAACAGAAGCCAACACCGTACCTGATTCCGTCAGATCTAGAGCATCGACTAGCAGCCGATAATATCTTCCAACCAACGTTTGTGCTCTCAAATCTTACCCTCAATCTTCGTTATTTTCTCCACTGAGACTTTCCCACCAACTTCCATAATTTATCCACAATCTCAAGTAACGTGTATCCTATCTGGACAGCAATGATGTGCTCACTCCTACCACAGAAGGCCTCTCAGCCCCGAAAGGTCACCAACCGCTTCAACACCTCCTCGACTGATGCTCACATGCTCTTTATCTCACCTAAGATATTCTACGAAAGAGCATCGAGCTGCGAGGCCATCGAGTCTGCTCGATTGATGGTAGAAGCACGTGCCGACTGCCTAGAGGATAGGTATCTGCACCCAGTACCCAATATGACCTCTAGTCAGCTCATCACCCTTCGGCTGCGGACTATGCTCCGAAAGTTTACCTGGGCAGTTACCTCTCTTGCAAGTCTATGGTTGCAATATAATCACCTACGGACAAACGCGTTCCATTGATGAACCTAAGCAGCGCCCATCACTGTATTCCCTGCATTCAATACGTCACTAGCACTGATGCGCCGGTCGGTGGAGAGGGTATCGAGAACAGCCCGCCTGGCATTCGATGAACTGAAGATGCTTCACTACTCCGCCCGAATGCCAAGATCGAATATTCGAAGAAGAATGTTGCTGATGGCAGTTAATTGATGACACACGCAATGCGGAAAACGAGCATAGAGAAAACCCGTAGAGCGACAGCAGAGCACTAGCGGGAATGGTAATGGTAGTAACTGTGAAGACTGTCTACCAAAGCAACGAGAGTTACGGTATTAATAGAACACGCGAACGTGAGAGGAAAAGTAACAAATAGTGAGAGGCCAGATAGAAGGCCTCTCGTCGACGCTTGTACAGGACTGCATACACTGCTACTGTAGAGAACTGAATAAAATGGGGGTATATTTGGAGACATCTCCAACAGGGTGAAACAGAAATCACGTAAGGGTTACTCGCCGATAGCGACTAGCAAACATCCGGTCAGTTGGATGCAGAAGGCGATGCCGAAGACTATCCTTTGCCTGACAAGGAAGAGACTGAGCAAGTCCTGCACTGTGTGAAGGGTTTCTACTTCTTTTGTTTGATCTCCTTGTACACGAAGATGCTGAGTAAACTAGATATCATTACAGGTCCTACAGCATCCAATGTGTATGCAGCAGCATAGCCCATACCATCGATGCCGTACAGAGCCAATACATCACCCGAGGTCCAGAACAAACCTAGATGAGAGAGAGTCCACTACGGAGAAGAAGGTAAAGTTGATTTACCCGCAATGAAAGCTGGGCGGATGACAGAGTGCATGGTACGCTTTTTGAGGGCGAACTGACGGAATAGAGAAGCTACCCAATACCACACACTAGACACA